TAAACGGGTTAAAATATTCAGTTGAAAAACCGCGATCCTCTAATAATATTATTTTATTTAATTAATAATTTTTTTAAAACATCTGTAATAAAACCAAATGTATTGAATATAAGTTGTAATCAAATCATTATATAAACAATTTCGAAACAAATTTAAATTTTAACGACAATTAAATAAATTTTACTATTCATTATTTTTAAATAAGTTGTAAAATTAATATAAAATAAACTTTAACAATTTCAAATTTCCAAAAACAAGTTTTGATTTTGATAAAACAATTTTTAAAATTTTAAATGTTGATATCAGTACATGTTTGTAATATGGTATATTATTGACTATTCCAATTAAAACAAATAATTAAAAAACAAAGTACCACTTTTTACATTGGAAGAATCCACCTCTTTCAAAATACTACAGAACAGGCTACAAAAGACATAATAACAGACTTTTCAATATCACATTAGAAAAAAAACGCAGAAGACAAATAGTAAATCGGTTAAGATAACATACACAGATCAAACTACATTAATCTAAGCCAATAAAAAGGAATAAAGCAAATTTATCCAACAATTATTTAAGAAATATATAAAGAAACGAGACTTTGCTCTACAACGATCATAAATGCTGTTCTAAAAAATCAATAAAACTGTCTGGTGTCATTCCCTCATTTCTTCTTAATATGGACGAATCTGGATTTGTTTCTTTTGTTGACACAAAATATCAGACAGTGTATTGCGACCAAACGAAATCATTCAAATCAAAACGGGCCTTTGACAGAGCGGTCAAACAATTAAGTCTTGTTGTTGGAATTTGGGGAGATTCAACAAAATTGAAACTATCGTTAATAATGCCACAAAAAACAATGGATAATGAAATAGGAAAATGCATCATGTTAGATCCAATGGCTTTTGTATATCAAGATAACGGATTCGTGAACAAAGAGATGTTTTTGTTGTGGAAAACGAAAATATTAGTTCCTGCTTTCGAAGAACGCAAAAAAGAGAAAAACATGGGGAATTTTAATGATGGGTGGTTTGTGATCGTATTTCACTGATGAAGCCATTAAAAGATTTCATGAGATAAAAATCACATTTTTTTAAATTGTGCCCACATTAGAGTCATTTTATAACCATTGGATTTGGTTGTTTTTGAAGGTCAAAGGTTTTTTATATAGTTTAATGATTGTATAATTGATAATTGGAAATGGATACATTATCCAAAGTTAAAAATGCAATTCAAAAAAATAGAAAGCCCAATCAAATCAACAAAAATATCTACTGTTTTGTCCTTACTTGGAAAAAGAGAAATTAATTCCAAAACTAGTTAAACAAAGAAAGTGTTAAAATGTCAAACATTGGGACTCTTGCCAAAGCACAGTTTGCTCTAAGTGACATGACAAGACGAATTGTTTCAATTATAACCTAATGGGATATAACAAAAAGTGGTTTCAACATCGCAAGAATGTTTAATCATGCTGAATTCAAAAGGTATTAAAAGACGATAACAAAAGGAATGGAAAGTTTATTTAAAATCACTATACTAATTACCCATGTCACCTTTTATATTGCAAAAGTCAATTTCAATGTTCATTTTTTTAGTATTTCGAACAAAAAAGATTCCAAAAAATAATAAACAAAATGAATGCAAAAACTTTTTAAAAAACACTCGTATTGTTTATTAAAAAGTTTATATGTAATATCGTAGAGTTTTTTATTGTTATTTTTCAAAACACAATTGATTAAAATTATAAATTGGTATTTTAAACTAAGAAAGCCATTATGACTATTTCTAAAAACGCGTAAAAGGCATTAGCTCCATTGAATTTTCCTCCTTCCAATTTGTATTCAGCCATACATGTAGTGCATTCATTTACCTTTTCACAACTTGCGCAGCCCTCAATAATACATTTAATGCATTTTTTATTGGTTTTATCTGTCTTATATCCTTCGGGTGGGGATATAAAGATTGAAATAAAAATGTTTGGGATAAAATGTTCGGTTTAAAATAATTTTTTCAATGAAACATGCATTTAATTTACATAAAAAAAATCAAACATATTTATAATCGTTATTTAAATATAACTTGTCAAAAGAAAAATATTGTCAAAATTGAACAAATCTATATATATATATTAATAAACATTAGTTGTTAACAAAAAGTAAATGGTGCCATTATAATTATAAACATGAAATTAAAAACACGTCAATATATAGTGAATAATATTTATTTTAGTTTTATTTAATAAATTTATTCGACTATTTTTGGTGATCAAAATATATTCAAATAAATTAAATTAAAAAATAAATCAAGTTTAAAGTAAATAATTGTTATTACAGTAAAAATATCACTGTTAAATAACTTCTAAAACATTAATAAAATACCACTTTTATAAAAAAATATATTAATAAAATATCATTGATGTAATTATTAACATAATAATTGATTTTGTTATTTTTATATAAATTTAAAATTATTTACAAAAAAATGAAACAAAACAATTTTGTTTTATCGGCGTCCTTATTTTTAGATTTGTGTGCGTTTTTTCTCCTTTTTTCCCATCTCCAACATAACTTCTTTGAGAAGGGGGCAATTTTTTCTTTTTTGTTTGAGTAGAGATATTTATGTCGTTTATTAACTCTTGTGTATTTATCACTCTTTTCATGAAAACCTGTTCGACATCTTCTTTTCTTTTGGTAATAACATTTTGCTCTACGTGTTCATCATCAATTTTATCAATAAATTCTCCAAATTCAATTTCCTTATGGTAACACTTTTCCTCTTCATCACAATTTGATGCGTCTCTTAGTTGACCAATTTCATTTTCATTAATTTGAACTGTTTTAATATGATCAATTCTCAGAATTTCATTTTCCGTGTTTTCAATGGAATTTTCATATTATTTGTTCCATTTATATTTTTCAATTTCATTTAATAAATGTTCTTTAAACTTGTCGTATTTGCTGCTTCCGCTATAATAATTCAAAGTCAAATTAAATATACGGGTTGGTCTGTTTACAAAATGGTTTAACCCTCTGTCCATCTGTTCTATTTTTAAGTTTTGCTTCTTCTCTCTTCATTAAATGAATCAATAGTGTATTGAGTGTTGGCTTTTTACAATTAAGCCTTTTAACCAAAGCTGAATGGTACGACTCGCTCAAATTGTCTGTTCTCAATTGTTGGTTAAATTGTGACCACAGTTTAATCGGCCATTTAAACAACCAATTATCCCTGAAATAATTAATTAAATCATTGATTGAGTTGCTGGTATTTTTGTCAAGATTATAAGATGGAATTCTTTCGACTATTTTTTCAAATTGTTCATTGACTTCAGATGGTTTCACGAACGCTAGAAGTTTTAAATCGTTCACAATTGTCCAAACGTTTGAAGAAGGGAAATATAGTTTGGCCAATGATAACCGTTGTACTGCTCTCCAGATACACTGTGTAAAGTGGAAATAACATCCATGCACATTACAGTGAAATTTGGAAATTGAATTTATAACTGCAATTTCAAAATCAAGCATAATACTTGTTTTTTCATTAAATAATTCACTGTCTCACTTTTCTTTAAAATGCAAATTGATATAATTAAAAAGTGTATCATAATCACTTTCCCGTCTCTTTATCATTAAAGCGTGAACAAGAGTAAAAGACTGTCCATTAGATAAAATTGCGTGGATAGTGTAAAGTTGTTGATATGTATTTGGTGCTGAATTAAATGTACCATCCATACACAAATAAATCACTTTTCGTTCTTTAAGTTGAGTAAATTTTTCGTTTGATATAAGAATAAACACGTTATCATCTTCTTTTGTTGTGTATTTTCCACTTTCCAGTAACTCTTTCATTTTATCTTCGATCATTTCTGCTTTTATAAGATTAAAGGTTCTTCTAATTGAAGTCTGTCTTCGCTTGTCATTGGGATGGTCGTTATTATATTTGTCCATCAGTTTTGTTGCAGACATTAGAATGTTGGTTCCATTACTAATAATATCACGAATTCCACAAAAACAAATCACATGATATTTTGCAACAAGTTCATTTTGAATGAAAATTTAATTGATTTTCAGACATTAAATATCGATTCACAAACAAAACGAATTGAAAACGAACTGATAAACATCTTTTCAATTTCCAACATACCCGAAACGAATCATCCAATGAGATCATCCAACGAAGAAGACGAGGATTCCATTGAAGAACGTGTCAACGAAGAAGTGGATGATGATGATCCAAATGTGATCATTTCACCGTCACAACCGTCACAACCAACAAAAACAAAAAAAGAGTTGCACCAACTTACTCTCATCAGAACATTGATCCCACTTTTTAATGATGGGTCGGGGTTCAATATTGGTATGATAACAGACAATGTTACCGAATGTATCAGAAAGGAAAAGGCTGAAAACTCCAGGCTCAATTGTCACAACGAAATCGGAGAGTTTATTTTGTTGTTTCTTGCCTTAATATCTGGAGCATCCGCTTTTTCAATTTCTCAAATGGATAATGTCATAAAATTTTTCAATTTTGGCATAACGTTGTGTGGAGTCGATGTAAACAAATATCATTTCAATTTAAGTCCGACAACAATAAAAAGAAGAATTGACCTCATTTCTGAAGTTAACACGGAACAGACGCTCGAACTGTTGAGGAATTGTCATTATTATGGTTTGATGGCAGACAGTGCCAGATATGGACCAAACGAACATTTTTCGTTGTTCATAAGAATTTTAACCGATAAAATGATTGTTGTTGAGAAAAAATTGAAGATGGAAAAATATATCGGAAAAACAACTGCGGATGCTTGGTGTGATTGGGTAAAGTCAGTTGCGGGATTGTTTGGATTAAAATTGAATTTGTGTGTCAACTTCACCTTCGATGGTGCTTCGACAATGATCTCTAATGAAGGTGGTCTTGCGGGAAAGTTCATTGAATTTATGAAATCAATTGGTATTGATGTTAATGGATTCGAACCAAATTATTGTTTCAATCATCGATTGAGTAAAGCAATTGAAAAAATGGGAACGACGTTTTATGGGTATCTTGTGAAGAAATTTTTATACAAATTAACTGGAGCCAACGTGAGGATGAATTGGGAATCTTGTTGTAAAGAAAAAGGAAATGAAAAAGAAGCCTTGTCAATTCCTCAATATAGCATCACTCGGTTTCTATATATAGCGACAATATCTAATATGGTATTTGACAATCTCAATGAACTTCAAGATTTTACAAGGAACCAAAAGAACTGGAAAATCGAAATGCCTAAACCGAAAAGAAGGGAGAGCAGTGCCAAACAACAAAACAAAAATGATAACGAAAACGACAACTTCGAAGATGATGGCATTGACGTCTCGAGACGGCTTATCAAAACTGCGACTTTGGACGACGACAAATTTGTAGCACTTCTGTTCTTTGTTGATTTCATTACAAGTCAGGTAAAAGTTCTCAGTGATTGGCTCCAAAAATCGTGCCTCTCCTTAGTTGTTGCCTATCAACGTGTGCTTGAAGTCACCGAGAATTTAATCGAACTTAAAAATGACATCTATCAACGCTCAGAAGAAAAACTCTTTAACATGCTTTACATCAACAAAGTCAAATCCCCAGAAAGAGTTCAATTTCGTGATATTTGTCTGGGATTGCTTAATCGTTTATTACAAGCACTTTCTGTTCAATTCACTCTTCCAACCAAAAAACTCAAGCCAAGCCAAATAGCGCTCAACGGAGCAACAAATGAAACAACCATTGGCATTAATACATTTGGTGACTTTGTTAAACTCGGAGACTCTTTTCGAAACGAAAATTTTTTGCTTGCCGTCCGCACTTGTTTGTTGCCTGTCTTCAGAAAGGCGAAATCTGAAATTTCTGAGGATCTCAGATTGGAAATTGTTCAATTCAATCAGTGGATGGACTCCCACACAATGCAAATGACCAAATTAAAAAGCAGAGACGAAGAACTCAATAAAGAACAATTGATGAGACTTCAAAAGGCTACACAATCGGTGAGGCTTTCAAAAGAAGCCAAAGACATTATTCAAAAACTTGACTCACAACAAAACATTGGATTGTTAAATGAAAAGAAACAAAATGTTGTGAGGATTGTTAGAGAAATGCAAAAATCGAAGCAAATTAGGCATTGCCAATTGAATGACAATTTCGTTCCATGTCAAAATACTACAACATTGGTGGTGCTCTTGCAAATGTCTGAATCTGAAAGATCTCATTTCCCGCTTATAATGGATTTTTCCAAACGTGTAGAGGCAGTAAATGTGACTTCTTCGATAGTCGAACGTTCATTTTCACGTTTGAAGCATATAGCAAAGGCGAATATGAAGTCAGAAACAATTAGTCAAATGTACGACGTTAAAGATATCGTAAAGAAATGTGATTTCTGATTTGTGTGTTTTTGGTTTCTTATATTTTATTGATGTTTTTTGCTTAAAAACAATAATGATAAATAAAATACAAGTTTTGTTATACGACATATTAATGTTTATATTATTTCAAAAGAGCAGACTAGATAATAAAACAAATAAAATAGCCATTTTACATGGTTTAAAAGTGAAAAATGGCAATCAAATTTGTCTATCCTTAATAATTAATATATGTTTACTTTAAATTATGGCAAAATAAAACTAATTCGATTCGACAAAAAACAAAACCAAGTTACAAATAAATCTTTATTGTTTTGACAGAAAACATTTTATATATTGAATTGTTTAAAAACGAGTAAAAATAGTTAATTTGGAATTTCTTGAAATTGTGGGAAAGGTTTAATTGAATAAAAACCCCAAGAAAAACAATAAGAGAGTATTTGAGCAGGGTAAAAAACTACAAAACATCAAATAAAGACTTGGTTAGATGTGAAGAAAGATAGAGGAAAACATGAACAGAACATAATGCACTCTTGTTATGTGAAATATTTTATGATAATTTGAGGAGTTAATAACAGTAAATATCGGCTTTCGTAATGAAATGGTTTGTGTTGTTTTTGAAAACGAAGAAAGAAATAACAAATTAATTCGATTAGAATGAAATCAGAATAACAACAAGAATTGATTATTGTGTTTTATATTAGATTGAACCCGACAAAATGATTAATTGTGATAGTCTACATTTAGTGATAAAGAAAGTGTGTCGAATTGAAGTGAAGAAATATTTATACGCAGACATTAGGCCAGACAACTTCTTCGTGTTTTCACTTGATTAAAATGCAAAGGAGTAAAGCTAAGATAACAACCGTTGGCAGTACAATAAATGTGAATGTATTGCTGGCACATTCGTATATAAAAATGGTGTGTTGGTTCGCACCTTCCCAGAATAGTCGAACTAAGGTGCGAGAGTCGTTATAACAATTTCTCATTTGATGTGATGCTTTTTGAACATTTGAAATAACATGATTTAAACGACAAAGACATCTTTGGGTCCGATGGGAAATCAAGTCAGCTGTGAATGTTCGAACCAACCTAAAACGGTAAAAAAAACTCAAATTATCGATATATAGCCTTTGCATTAAGGTGTCTGGCTCAAACAAATGCCCAAGGGATAATTAGGCAAGTTTTTCGAAGAGTTTACGAGCTTAATACATGAATTCACTTAAAGTAAAACATTAATTCTCTGAATTGCTTTTTCTTTTTATTATTATTATAAATAACACTAATATAATGATAATATATATCATTTAATATTTTTTATCATTGAAGGTTAGTGTTAATTCTTATATAATTGTTTTATTTTAATGCTATTGTTACTAGTCATTTGATTGGTCAAATTGCGTTTCTTTTCAGTTTAATTTGTCATTATTTCAGAGTTTTTTGAGGCAAATTTACTACCCTTTTGGGTAAATATTTGAAATACCCGAAATGTAGCTATTCATTTATCTGTTATATATATTTTTTATTCATTTTCTCATCTTTTTTTCTTTTTGACCCCCAAACAATAGGCTAATTGAACCAATTATAAGTAAATAATAACCTTTTGATTATAAGTACTTTTACTGTGAATGTTCGGGATGTTTCGTGTATTTTCACCCGCAACTTACGGCTGAAAAGAGCAAATACAAAGTAAGACTTTTTCAAAACCCTGTTTCTAAAAAAAGATTCTGATTTATTTATATTTTGTCCCTGACTCAACACCACGTATTAGGATAAACTATTAAGGAAAAAAAGCCTAAAAAGTTTTGGGCCTTCTCAAAAAAATGGCAAACCATGATCAAAATAATAATTATTTATAATAATATTTTTGGGATAAAACATTTTAATTTTAAAACGGTATAGTTACAAAGTAATTATTTGTGAAAACATTGAATGTTTTAATAACCGTTTTTGTGGGAATCATTAATAATTACAACAGAAAAAACACATCAAAAATAATATAAAAACAAAAATGCTCATAACATTCAGCACATTTCCCGTTATTTTTCGACAAAATATTGTATTATTTAAGTAAATAATCTAAAAAACAACAGAAAAATAGGTCCGAAAGTCCGACACGTTGGACTTTGTGTCCGGAGTTTACTTTTCAATGCTAAAGACTTTAATCAGGTCGGCCAAGATCCAGTTTTTAAACAACTTCGTGGCAATCTCTAATACGTGTCAGTTCATTTTTAGTTTTAGCATATTGTCAACAAAAAATTCAAAAATTTTTTTAGAGTTAAAATGTTTTTAAAAATTGGTAAAACTATAGTTAACGATTTAAACAAAATTTTTATATTGTTTAAATCATCATTACAATATGTGATAATCCAGTTTTAAAGAACAACAATTGAACAATAAAAAGCATATGATATTATGGGATGCAGAGTTTTTAAAATCAAATAACAATATTCACTCATTATAATTGTAATATACACAAAAAATACTAACAACCAATAAAAATTATTAGAAATAATTTTAGTGATTTCAACATAAAATTTTTATTTTAACAATTAATATACCTTTTCAACATACACATTATTATTAATTGTAAATGTTTATTTGTCAGTTTAACAAAGGTTTTGAATAGTTCATTCGTGTCTTTTTTAAATTAAAGTATTAATTAAACAATCAAATAGAAGTAATTTTATTATCTTTAGCAATAATACAGAACAAACAATGTATTATTTTTTGAATGAAGTCAACCATATTACTTTCAAAACAGTTAAACTTATCTTTAATTAATTTTCTTGATAAAAAAAGATCATTCAATATACGATAATAATCAGTCAAAATAATAATAATCACCCAATAAAAAACATTATCAAAGCAACTTTAAATAAGTTTTATTTGCATGTATAATTTACAATTGAAAGGTTTTGGTGTACAATTATAACAACACAAAGATATATGTATATTGTTGTATTTTAAAGTAATTTGAAAATAATTTTGTGTCTAATATAAATTATCGTTTTATTTTTCTTCATTTTATCATATGGTATAAATAATTGTGTTTTGTCATTTTCATTTTGTTTTTCAAAAATGATAATGTTGTTTACCATTTTAATGTTTTTTAAGTTTTTTTCAATAACATGATCGTTTGGCCGACTCTGCTTTAATTACAAAAAAATCAATACAAAACTTTTTTTTTGTAAAATATAAAAGTACATGATATTATAAACAAGTTAGTAAACCAATTGTATGTATATTGACTTATACACACCTATTACAAGAGCATATAATTAAAAGATGATCACCCATTTGTTTATATAAATTATTTAACCAATTAAAAAAAATGTATGACATAATAGTAGACAAGTACAGCATTGACTGTGCTGTGTTGCTTTGTAAAACAATAAATATCTCATAATATCTAATTGTCAAAATATTACTTAAAAAAAATACAAACAAAAAAATCTTTTTTGTTTTGTTCGTAAATTTGGTTTTAAAATAAAATTAAAAATTATGATTATTTTTATTATATTTTGTTTGAAAAATAATAACAATAAAAAAGCAAAGGTTTTGCTTTTTTATTCAAAAAAGAATAGAATAAGTGGGTAATTAGGATATTGGTCTATTTAAAATCACTATCCAAATTACCCATGTCACCGTTTATAACTAAAATGTTCAATTTCCTATTTTAATTTTTACGTTATAAAATTACGTTTTAGCAACAATAGTTTTTTTAGTTTTGGAAAGGATCAAAAATGATTAAAATAGTTAAATTGTTGAATAAATATATAAAATGTCATATCGTAGAGTTTTTTGTTGTTATGTTTCGTAACACAATTGATAAATTTTTTAAGTTTAAAAATTTAGAGGAAGAAAGCCATAAGGATTAATGCTAAAATTGCGAAAACGGTATCAGCTCCATTGCATCTTCCTCCTTCCAATTTGTATTCAGCCATACATGCAGTGCATTCATTTACCTTTTCACAAGTTGCGCAGCCCTCAATAATACATTTAATGCATTTTTCATTGATTTTATCTGTTTTATATCCTTCTGGACACTTATCAATACACTTCAAAGTGTCAGCCATAAGATAGAAATTGGTCTTGCATTTACTGCACTTGTTGTCTTTGTCACAAACATCGCAATTGGCAGTAGCACACGTATCACACTTTTTGACTGGAGTTTCAACTGGTTTACCAGTGGTGCATGTATCACCACATGTAAATTTATCTGCAGCAATGTATTTATTTTTACATTTAGTGCATTGTTCACCTTTTCCAACTGTTTCACAAGTTTCGCAGTCAGCAATAGTGCATTCTTCACACCTCAATGATTTTTTATCAGCTTTACCAGTTTTGCAAGTTGCAGCACATGTTCCATCAAGATTAACGTAATCAGTTGTTTTTGTACATTTGGTGCATTTTGTTGTTGTACTTACAGCAACTTCTTCGCATGCAGCACATCCATTTCCACACGCATTTGCTGAAGAATCACACTTTTTATCTGTTGTTATTTTTCCAGTTGCACAATCAACACATTTATTACCATTCATGTATTTGTTCTTAGTTTGTTTATTACATGTTAAACATTTGACACCATTGGTATCTGTTGTGTCTTTGATACACGTGGCACAATTATACGCAGAGTTACAAGCAGTACACACACCTTCAGAAGAAATATATCCAACAAAATTTGGGTCACATTTTGAACAACCTTTGGCATCACATGAAACACAATTAGATCCACATTTCGTGCATGTGTTGCCCTTTAGATAATACCCATTATTACAACCAGTACAAGTGTTAGCATCGCTGCAAGATAAACAGCCAGTTGCACATCTTGTGCAAAAACCACTTTTAAAATAATAACCAGATGTGCATGAAAGACATGTTGTTTGATCAGCTTTGCACTTCGAACATCCCGTTGCAGTAGCACTTCACTTTACTTCTGCTTTGTAATTGCTTTATTCAAGATAATACCCTTCATTACACACAATGCAAGTTGAAGCATCATGGCAAACTGAACTATTAGTTGAACATTTTGTGCATGTTTTATCGTTTAGATAAAATCCACTTTTGCATTTAGTACAAGTGGTAGCATCGGTACATTTTGCACAATTACTTTGACATGCTTCGCAAGTTTATTCTTTAAGATAATAACCAAAATAACTATTATTACATACAGCACATCCAGATAAACATGCCTCGCATTTTCATTCTTTGAAATAGTATTTTATATCACAGAAATCGCATTGATTTGGAGTATTTGTTTTGCATTTAAGGCAATTTTCTACAGGTGGATTACAATCATCAGAAAAAGCAGTAAACATTGTAAATGATAAGAGGATTAGAGTTCTCATTGAAT